GATGGGGGGGGGGGGAGGGGTGGGTGATGGGTATTGAAGAGGGCATCTTTTGGGATGAGCACTGGGTGTTGTATGGAAACCAATTTGACAATAAATTTCATATAGTAAAAAAAAAAGAAAAAGAAAAAAAAGAAACCGAAGAAAATAAACCACGACTCCAATACTTACTTTTGGCTACTATCTTCCCTATCCCCCATGTACACGTTTATTTCTTGTGGTGAAACTTGACTTTCAAATTATGAATGGTCTTTTGTCACTGAAACCTTTTTTTGCCTTGCTCATTAAGATGTTCTGTAAGGATCTACGATCCTTACAAAAGTTTGCAAGCAAAGGACAACAATTTTATAATATATGATCCTAGGTTTATAAGCTGGTCCCAATAGTAACTTGTTCATATGCTTTTAAAGCCTGCTGATGTTTATTGAAGACTGCTATGTTTGTGTGGGGATAGACATCAAAATGTTTATCTCCATCACATTGTCATCAATATTGATGAATATCAGGAATGACATACCTTTTCTATCCAACAAAATGACAGCATGGCCTGCCATTCAAGTAATGGCTCATTATCTTTTTTTGAAGTATTTACTTTGTCAAACAATTGTTTCTCGTGACCTGTTATTCTTGAGAGATGTCGCACTTCATTGGGCCATTGTGAATACAGAGACCCCTCACTTGCCTCTGCATGTACATCTGTAGTTAGGGGGACCGACTGGTGGGTAAAGCAGTTTGTTACTAAGCTTGGTCATTGGAGGACCTATGTATGACACAGCACCACTCCACAGCCGTCAGTGATTAAACGTTATATAGAAGGAAGGCAGAGCAACTACTCAAAGTGAATTTCTGTTAAGGTTCATAGACAACATGATCAAATTTGTAACAGTGAATATGTACTTGCTGGTAGAAAAAATTTAGCTAGACCTTTCAAGGATGATTCCTCAACTCCATGCCCGAAAATTCTCCTGAAGATGTATGGGGAAGATGCGATGACCTGGCGGGAAATACAAGAGACACTCTGTGGAGGACCCAGAGCCTCACCGAAACTCCTGGTTCTCTTTAATCTGCTTGTACCTTTCTGGGTCAAGCAAACCCCACTTTGCAGAGATCTTTGGAATTGAGATTATGTCCTGCATCACTGTATCACATATGGAAATGAAACACATTTTCATTGAAGAGTCAAAAAAGTGAGGGCAAAATAAAACATTTAAGATTAATGAAAGAAAGAAAATCTGAGAATTTGTCATCAGCACACCCTCACTACAAGAAATACTGAAGGATGTATAAGTAATGCGAGACCAGATCAAAGTAGGAAAAGCAAGAAGGATTAGGACGACTTTATAAAATAATAATAATTGTGACTTGTGGCCTTTTTTAAAGTTTATTTATTTATTTATTTTGAGAGAGCAGGAGAGCGCATGTCATGCTTGAGTGGGGGAGGGGCAGAGATGGAGAATCCCAAGCAGGATCTATGCTGTCAATGCAGAGCCCATCAAGGGGCTCGATCCCACGAACTGTGAGATCATGACCTGAGCAGAAATCAAGAGTGGGACACTTAACTGACTGAGCCACCCAGGTGCCCCATAAGGTATATTTAAAATAAATAACAGTAATAACATATAAGTTAGGGGGGCAGTAAATGGAATTAAAAGGTTTTAAAGATCCTGTATTATCCAGGATGAGAGTAAACATCCTGAGGAATTTGAGACTTTGTTAAGTTAGGAATGAATATCTGAATTTCTGGGGTAACCACTGAAAGAATGGAAACATGGTATATACCCTACAATCTAGTAGAGAGGAGGAGAAAATAAAATGAGAAAAATGTATAATCAATCCAAAAGAAAGAAGAAAACAGAACATGCAGAATAAATAGAAGACATAAAATAAGATTGTGGCTTCAAACTCAAATAATTCAGTGTGTAAATAAAATGTAAGTGGCTAAATGATTCTTTAACAGTCACCAATATAAAAATATCCAACTATATTTTTACAAGAGATATATCTAAAAAATAAGGATACAGACTGTTTGAAAGTAAAAGATTGCAAGAAGAAACATCAAGCGTTTCAGTCAGGTTTTAGCTGGGAAAACAGAAGCCTCTAAGTGTTCAGAGTGAAGAACTTTATTTAATACAGGGAATTAGAGACTTCAATGATCTTTGAAACAGCCGGGTGATAAAGAGCAGGGAGCAAAGGTCAGCAAGCTGCTTTCACACAAAATCTGCTTTCAGGAAAGCAACTGGGTGATTTTCAGGAAGATTAATAGCTGCTCCTTCTCCTCCAGTTTCCAAATCCTGTGCAGTTGTCTCTCATTGGCTAGGTTCAATCCAGAATCATAAAGAAAAGAGATACAGGGAACTGTAGTTCCAAGCTTCCTATTGGAAGCAGAGATAAATGCTGAAGGAAACAGTGAGGATGCCTACCTGAGATCAAGCAATCCAGCCCAAAAGGAAACAGAGGTAGCTATGTGAATATCAGATCAAAGTAGACTCTAAGGTCCAAAGTATTACTAGAGACAGAGAGAATCGCTTCAAAATACAAAAAATAATAAAGATTCAATTCACGAGCAAGATCTAATATTTGAATTTGCACTTGCCTAATAAGAAAGCCTCAAAATATATAAAGCTGACAGAACCACAAGAGAAGTAGATACACCCACAATCATATTGGATGGGTTTTATATACTTCTCCCAGAAATAAACAAATAATTCAAGAAGGATGTACAAGATTTGAAAATATGAACAAGGTCACCTTAATGGACATACATAGGGCAATGTGCTCAATAATTCTATTCTTTTCTAGCACACACAGAATGTTCTCAAATAATGAGCATATCCTGGGAGATAAGGCAAATCTCAACAAAGTTCTAAAAGTCAGAGTTGTACACAACTGACCTCAATAAAATTAAGCTAGAAATCAACAACAAAGAGGCAATTAAGGTCATCTTGTTTCAGAAATTAAGAGTCATAGATCATAAAAAATTAAGAAATATTTAGAACAAAGAAGGGGTGCCTGGGTGGCTCACTCAGTTGAGTGTCCAACTCTTGATTTCGGCTCAGGTCATGATCCCAGGGTCATGAGATCAAGCCCCACATCGGGCTCCATGCTGAGCCTGCTTGGGATTCCTTCTCTCCCTCTCCCTCTGTCCCTTCCTCACTTGTGCATGTGCACTCCCTCTCTAAAAGAAAAAAAGAGAAATATTTAGAACAAAATGACAATTAAAATGCTGTACTTCATAGTATGTAGGATAAACTAAGGCAGTATTTAGAGGAAAATTTGTAGCCTTAAATGCAAGTGTTCGAAAAACAGAAAGACTGACAATTAAATTACTAAACATGTGAAAAAGGAGAAGACTATGGCCCATAACCAAGAGGAAAATTGGTCAAAAGGAACAATAAACTAAAACACTTTAATTTAAACAATAATTTTATAAATGCACTCAGTGGGGAAGGACTCATGAACAAGAACTCTGGGGTAGAGAAGACAGAGAACAGATATCAGAGGGGGGATGAAAGAGAAAGGGGACAGTGAATATGGTTGAGGAGAGAGCTAGGCTTAATGAAATGGATTTGACAGACATCTTCGGAATAGGGACGTTCCAATATTTTCTTTTAAATTATCTGCTAAGGGTTGTTGATCCCCCTCTGCACCCCTCCAGTCTTCACCAGACGTCTGTTTGAAAGAGCCGACTCTTATCTGGGGTCAGAGGGTGAGAGTCAAGCAGCAGGGGGTGTGTTCTGGGAGAGAGGAACAAACAGCTGCGAGATGAACTGTGCCAACAATGATGCAGCTGGAGTGCCAGGCGTGGGGCAGGAAGTAAGGCCCTGTGACTTTAGCCATCATGGAGAAGCAGAAGAAACCCACGGGTACAGAACAGGGGTGCCAGCAGATTTTCCCTAGACCTGTTTATTATGCATGTCGGGGTGACTGAATTTACAGGGAGGAGCATAAAGCTACCCTACAGGTCCTCGGCATCCTCTCCCCTGGATGCAGATCTACCCAGGATGCAAAGTGCTAACGGGCAGGCTGCTTGGCGAGTCTGGAGGCAATAAAAGGATGTGCTAAATAACTAGAGTCATCGATGGGACGCCCGATACAGCCATGGTCACCTCTAGGCCGTTTTACAACAATGGATGAAGTTATGGGTGGGGGAGGGGATCAGGGTCACAAAGCTATTAAAGTGAGAGAACGGGGATTTGAACCCGGGTATGTCTGCCACAGAGGCCTGCACTCTGTCCTTCACATCAGCATAGATGGCTCACGTCTGTTTCAATCATTGTCGAGGAAAAGAAAGACCCCAGCCTGGAATGGTATCTCAGCCAAGCCAGACTGGGTGCTCTGCAAAGACCTATGATGGATGTCGCATTTTGCTACTTGTATTTGATATGTCTCGTGTCTTTTTGTTCTGCTATTCCTCCTTTTCTGCCTTCTTTTGCATGAAGTGGATATTTTCCAGTGTACCATTTTAATTTCTTTGTCGATCTGTAACTACCTTTCAGAGTAATTTTCTCAGTGATTGCTCTAAGAAGTATAATGGACATTTAAGTCACAATCTACCTCAGATTAATGCTAACTTAATTCCAGTAAACAGGAAAACTTTGCCCCAATATAACTCTATCCCCTACACCCTTCTTTGGCAAAGATCTATGAAACATGTGTCCCTGGGAGACTTCTGGTAAATAATAAACTATTTGTGCTTTACTTATAAGTACCATATTAATGAGCTGACAGCACATTACTCAAAGTCATACAAAGTCACGGCAAGCCAAGTGCAAAGGTCATAATTAAGATCACTTTTACTCATTTTTATGTCTAAAGCTCTATAGTCCCTCGCATATGCTGTGTTAAGAATAAAAACATGGCTATGTTTGCACATGTGTGCAGTGCCAGGGGGAAAGAGTGTGAACTTCAGCAAATCATAGTACCTCAAAGCAGTTGTGCAAGCTGGAATGCATTAGACGTTCAATAGCCCCTTGAATAGCCCCTGATGCAGAGTTCATGGGTCACTAAGTAACAGGATGAGTTTCTTCAGCTGAGATAAGACTTAGTAACTCTTGAATGCTACTTTGTTCATGGACACTGAGATGGTGTTCTTTGGCTAGACCGAAGGCTCTCTCAGCATATTCTTGTGCCTGGAATGGAATTACAGTTACAAAAGGAAGTCGTCATAGGAAAGCTTTACACTGGGAAGCCCCATCTGTGCTCAACATGGGAAAGGACCCATCAGCTTCTCACGCCACCGGTGTGAAAAATTTCCACTTTTGGAGTTTCCACTTGCTGGAGACTTGCGAATACCCACTAGGTCCTTACAACTAGCCACACATGTGCTGAGTGGGGCATGGGGGACCAGAGAAACCCACCTGGCTTGACAAACTAAGTACAAAGTACGCCTTCTTAACAAAGTGAGATCTCCACAGGATCTGAATCAGGACCCTCTGAACCAGCACCGGGAGGCCAGGGGTGACAGGTTCCACAAGTGGCTTCCCATCCTAGGGGCCATGGTCTAGAGTTTTGACTTGGACAGAGGCCTCACAGGACATCCTGGGACAGACTCTGGGCTGGCTCTTCTCCCCTCCTCCCCCTTCCTCCCTTCCTCCCTCACTTCCAATAAATATTTATTGAATGGCTATTACGTTCCAGGTACTATGACCACAGGTGGAAATTCCTGCCCTCCTGGAGCTTACAGTACAGTGAGGGAGAGAGGCAATAAACAAGACGAACAAGTAAAACACCACAGTATCCTCAATAGTGATACATGTTAAGGAAAAGGATAAAGTAGGAAAGGGGGGTTGGAAGCACCAGTGGCAGTAGCAGGGTTTTGCAGCTTTCAGCAGGGGGGGGGGGGGGGCCAGAGAAAGCTTCGCTGAAGACAGTTGAGGAAAGACCTAAAGGAAGTGAGGTGGCAATCTGGAGTAGATATATGTGTCCCTATTCTCTAAGGACCTCTTATAGATCTAATACCCTTCACATGCCTTAGGGTAAGGACTTCCTTGAGTACACAGTAGAAAATTGGACCTGGAACTGTAGAAAAGAGGTTTTTACAGTGTAAGCTTGGAAATTCAATGGAAATGCTTCCCTGTTCCCTAAGCACTCTTACTACATCCCAGATAGGGTTGGTGTCCCTCCCTCGCATTGCCCACAGAGCCCCGGTCTTCACGATCACACTGGATTATAACCCACTGACTGCGAGCACCTCTAGGTCCTGGTATACAGAAGGCACTTAGTAAAGTTTGCTGAAGAAAGGTAGGGAGGAAGGGAGAGGGGGGAAGGGAATCCTAAATTTTCCATGACACCCACACACAAAGGCCTCCTCCAGCCAGCCTTCCCTCTCTCCTTGCCTGCTTTCGTTTGCTTTGCAGCACTATTTGCGATCTGAAATTTTATTCCCCATTAAATGTTGCCTTGTTTATTGTGACCTCCCCTCCTCCAAAAGAAGTTGGGCAAATAATGGACCCTCTCTGCACCTCAGTTTCCTTACCTGTAAAGTGGGAATAATAAAATACCTACTTCATAAAGTTGGCCTGACAATTAACTGCATTAGTTCGTGAGAAGTACTTAGGCTAGTAATGGGCATATCCCTCTGGAAGAAGACAATGCAGTTTCCATTATGCAGGCTGGACTCAACAAATGAGAAACATCATGAACATCTGAACTCTTCTGAAGTGCGGCCTTACTCAGAGGGCAGAAACCAGTGCAACTGGGCAAAACACAGCTGAATTCAACTAGAGGAACTTCTACCTCCATTAGACATGGCGCTTTTCTGGGGAAACTTGCCTTTGAAGAATTCATCATCAGGTAGTAAAGCATGACCAGGGTATTCAGAACAAAGATAGTTTTTTGGGGGGCTGTGTCGGATGTAGATTCTCGAATGTTCCAGATTGAAGTCAGGATCTGAATGGCTTCTGCTTCCTGGGCTTCATCTGCAAGGGGAAAGGGAGGAAGCTGGAAAGAAGAAACCGGCTGTGGGGAGCCGCTGGGTCTCCCCTCATGGGTGAGCACAGAGCTGACAGGGCGCTGGCCTTGGGCACAAGGCACAGCAGGTTCTTCACCCAGAGGACTCTGGCCACACTCGAGCAAGAAGCCGGGCAGTTTCAGGCAGCTCTGTAAAACCTGCTCACCCCGGTGGGTCTCAAGGTAACTGCGATTTCTGTCTTTCAGAGTCCTAAACTCTCCATTTCTTAGGCTCCAAACGCAGAGGCTGTCCCAGCGGGATTCCTTGGTCCCACTTAGCTTCCGCCTGAGAGCCAGAGAGGGAGCGGGGACTTCCAACAGCCAGCAAGCAGCTTAATCTTCTCCCAAATCCAAGGGTGCTGGCACCTCAGCCTTGCTGCTTCCCCGTGTAAGTTTTTTTACACTTCCTTCCAGTGGTGTTAGGCCCTACTCTAGCGACTATTTATTCACTTATTATGAGTTATTTGGGGCTACATACTTCTTTTTTTTTTTTTTAATTTTTTTTTCTGACGTTTTTTATTTATTTTTGGGACAGAGAGAGACAGAGCATGAACGGGGGAGGGGCAGGGAGAGAGGGAGACACAGAATCGGAAACAGGCTCCAGGCTCTGAGCCATCAGCCCAGAGCCTGACGCGGGGCTCGAACTCGCGGACCGCGAGATGGTGACCTGGCTGAAGTCGGACGCTTAACCGACTGCGCCACCCAGGCGTGGGGCCGCATACTTCTAAACACTTTTTACATACTAAGAAGTACATAAGAAGACAGAAAGGGCATACACCATAACCCTGAGGTTGGCTGCCTTTGGATTTCTATGATTTCCAAGTTTTCTGCTTTCACATAAACCACTTTTATAATGAGAGAAAACTGAATAAAGTTATTAATTTAAAATTTTTTTAATGTTTATTTTTGAGGAGAGACAGAGAGGGCATGAGCGGGGGAGGGGAAGAGAGAGACGGAGACACAGAATCTGAAGCAGGCTCCAGGCTCTGAGCTGTCAGCACAGAGCCCAACATGAGGCTTGAAGTCACGAACCTCAAGATCATGACCTGAGCCAAAGTCGGATGTTTAACTGACTAAGCCACCCAGGCGCCCCTAATTTTTTAATTTTTTTTTTAATGTTTATTTATTCTTGAGACAGAGACAGAGCATGAATAGGGGAAGGGCAGAGAGAGAGGGAGACACAGAATCCGAAACAGGCTCCAGGCTCTGATCTGTCAGCACAGAACCCGACGCAGGGCTCGAACCCACGAACTGTGAGATCATGACCTGTAATTTTTTTAATGTTTATTTTTGAGAGAGAGAGAGACAGAGTGCAAGTGGAGGAGGGGCAGAGAGAGAGAGGGAGACACAGGATCCAAAGCAGGCTCCAGGCTTCAAGCTGTCAGCACAGAGCCCAACACGGGGCTTGAAGTCAAGAGCCATGAGATCATGACCCAAACCGGAGTCACTTAACCAACTGAGCCCCCCAGAGGCCCCTGTCCTAATTTTTTAAATCTTAGTTCAAAACCTCTCCTCCAAGAAGTCTTCCCTATTTAACACCATCCAACTATCCTCACCTCTTCATTCTAGGATTCATCTTGTAATATAATTTGTACTTGTAGGCGTTTCCTTTTATTTCATATAGGTCCTGTGTCATCAACCACACCGCATGTCTCTTTTGAGCAGACACTAGATCCTCTGTCCCTTTTTATTACCTCAGAGGGAACGATGCTGTACAGTGCCACTCAGTACTCACCCTCTGTTGAGCCTGGGGACAGAGAAATAATGAGACCCGGCCCTGCCGCTGAGAACCTCACTGCCCAGTAAAGGAAGAGGTGAAGGCCCCAGAACAAATGTGCAGTATGAGAGAGTTTACCTTGCCTTATGTGCCCTGGAGAAATGGAGGCTCTGCAGAAATCACAGGGGGCTCTTGTAAGTCTTTTTCTCTTCACATCCGTACCTTATGAGCCCCCGGAAAGGCTGTGTATAGTACCAGGGCTCTGAATTCTTCCCAACACTGGTGAAATCCCTTTGGTTTTCCTATCTCAGTGTCCGCTTCAGCAAACTACAGGAGATGGCACTGGTGTGCTCGTGACAGGGACAGTGGCTCTCCCTCTTGGGGAGAAGGCCTGTGGATTAGGTGGGGTGAAGCCACTGCTCTGTTTCCCAGGGAGAGCTGCCACTTACCCAAGCCGGTGTCAGTCTCAAATCGTTTGCCCAGTAAGTCTATCTGTTGGATGCGAGCCTCTGAGAGCACTTGGTAGCGATTGTTCAAGTATTTACTCCAGATCTCAGAGACCTGTTGGGAAAGCAGACACAATCAGAGAAGCAGGCCAGACCTGAGCCTCATGTATTTTGCTGGTGGAGAAACAGGAAGAAAGAAAAGTGGGATATATCGTGTATCAGGCCATGTGATCTTGGGCAAATCATCTCATCTTTCTGTGCCTCAAATTTCTCATGAATGGTCTGACGCCAGTTGTAACTTAGAAGGCCAAAGCATCAAGGCTCAACTCCCATATTCCCCAGCTCACCTTCGTGTACAATGTGTCTGCCACGTCCAACTTTTTAAGGCCGTAGAAGATATTAGCCAGGTGGAAGTAGCCTCCTGACGTCCTGATATCCTCTGTTCCAAATGCACAACTGGCAAAATAAATCTACAGCAGAAGGAAGAAGGGGTGCTTCAGTTCCCTTTGTAAATCATGTATCTGATTTTAAAAACTTGTACACCTAGAATTTGTAATGATACAAATAAAATTAAAAAGCGGGCAAAGGATCTGCATAGACATGTCTCCAAAAAGATATGCCAGAGGCTAATAACACATGAAGTGATGCTCAACATTATTAGTCATTACAGAAATGCAAAATAAAATTGCAGTGAGATACCACTTCACACACACTAAAATGCCTCTCATCAAAAAGGCAGAAAATCAGCGTTGGCAAGGACATGGAGAAAACGGAACCCTCGTCCACGGCTGGTGGGAATAGAACATGATGCATCCTCTGTGAAAGACGGTTCGGCAGCTCTCCAAACATTCAACAGTGAGTTACTACATGACCCAGCAATTTCGTTCGTAGACAGATGCACACCCAAGGGAAATGAAAACTTGTGTCCACACTAAGACTTGTACACAAACATTCACAGCAGCGATACTCGTAACAGTGGAGACAACCCCCATGTTCATCAAGTGATAAATGGCTGGACAAAAATTGTGTATATCCAGAAGATGAACACTACTCAGCAATAAAAGGAATGAGGTATTGATACAACAACATGGATGAACCTCTAAGTAATTCTGCTAAGTGACAGAAGTCAGATGAAAAGACAACATATCATTCTGCTTATAGTAAAGGTCCAAAAAAGGCAAATCTAGGGAGACAGAAAGTGGTTGCCTGGGGCTGGGGGTCAGAGTGAGAAATAAACTGCAAATGGATATGAGGGATCTCTGGGGTGATGGGAATGTTCTAAGACTGGACTGGACTGATGGCTGTACAACTCTGTGAGTTTACTAAAAATCATTGAGTTGTATACCAAAAGTGGGTGAAGTCTATGATATGTTATCAATGAAGCTATGGTTGATTTTTTTTTTTGAAAGGTAGGCAGAAGAGTCTGAGTTTGATCTGTATCTTAACTGTATGGCCCAGCTCAAGACAGAATCTGTTCCTCTGTTTAATTTGTTGTAGAGTGAGAGTATAGAGAGAAAAGGCAGAGGAAAAAGTGTCTTAGTCAGTCTCCTAGGTGGAAATAGATGGCACCCTCAAAGTATTTCCTGAAGACAGTTTAATGAAAGGATTCTTTAAAGAGACATACAGAGGTCAAGGAACCAACAAGAGCTAGTAAAGCCCCAGGGACCATGAACGGCAAGAAACTATTACTGTCCAGACTCCTGAAAAAGTGAGGGAGAAAGCAGGGTCACCGGGGCCCCACAAGAGCTAGAGCAATGGGAGAAGGCCACCTGCCAGGAGCTGTGGCCATGGAGGAGCACTGCTCGTGCCAGAACTGGGGTGGAGCAGGAAGGCAGCAGAAAGAGTAGATACCCAACCTCTATCTCCTCCCAACATCCACTCCCCTGTCACGTCTCTCACTCTGCAAATCCAACAGAAGCCAAAAAGCAATAGAGTCCGGTCATGTAGTCCACAGAGGTCGGCCTCCCAGGGCACAGTAGAGCAGAGAATGGATTTGGGGTAAGGGGATTATGGAGACTAGCCAGCACAAGTTTCCAGTGGATTTATCGACATTGTGCAGTGGCAGGCAATCAGAGGGAGGGCTGCCCGGTGGAGAGGCTGAAGAGACAACCAACTTGCGTGGAGATTGCATCCTGACCCTAACCTCGTCCAGATTTCAGGCTCAGGAACTTTTCTGTCTGGTAATACTGTCCACTGCTGAAATCCTAACAGAAACAGCATAAATTCTGAAAGAACAGCTCAGTCCTCACCCTCATCATCATCTTATCTAACATTTGTACATAGTTTCATAGTTTATAAAGTATAGTTTATAAGAACTTTCATATGCCAACAGCTCTGAAGTAGAAACATTGATGTTATATGTAAAAATAACAGCCAAAATGCTGCATAGATATTGTCCTATTATTAATCTCTTCAATGACCCAATGAGGCACAGGCTATTTGATGATTTCTGTCTTATACTTGATGAAAGAGTTGAAATAATTGGTCCAAGATTATGGCCAAGAGTAAAAGTAAAGCCTTTCTCTTAACCAGTGTGCTGTTCTGCCTCCCTTTATTATCCTCAGAGCAGTCGGGCTTGCAGAAGTGGCGTGACCTGGCCTAAGGATGCACAGTCAGGAGGTGGAGAGGCTTGAACTCAGGTTGTTAGAACCACGTTCTCGCTGATACCTCACCGGTCAGTTGTAAACAGAAGGTTTTAGAGAAGGGCTCAGTTAAAAAAGAACAAACAAAACTCAGCATAGCTGGTCTCAGAAACATTCAGGTGTCATAATTTAGCTTGTTTACATCATTGGCCAGATGATAACGGGCTTCCTCGTAGTTTTCCTTAGCTATGTGGAGAAGTCCCAGGTTCCGATGCAGTAAAGACTGGGTGGCATAAGAGCATTCCGTTGATTTGAGGACTGTCCACTGGGCTTGGGATAGGTATTCCTCAGCTTGGACAATCTGGCCCAGACCTGCCCAAAAGAAGTAAAGAAGGTTAGAATTTATATCCTGGCCAGAGAACACATGATGAAATATGAGTCAGCACCCATTCACTCATTTATTCATTGACTCAAACATTTATTGACACACAAAACTTGTACCTGAACATTCATAGCAGCCTAGCCATAATAGCCAAAAAATAGAAACAAATTAAATGCTCATCAGCTGATGAGTAGATATACAAAACATGGTCTATCCATATCCATGGGTGGAATATTACTCAGTCACAGAAAGGAATGAAGTACTGATCCAGGCTATAGCATGGATAAACCTTGAAAACATTGCACTAAGTCAAGGCAGACAGATATAAAAGGCCACATAATGCGGGATTCCACTGATATGAAATGTCCAGAACAGGCAAATCCATAGAGACAGAAAATGGTGGCCAGGGACTGTGGGATGGAGAACGGAGGGTGACTACCAATATTCCATATTGGTATGGGGTGACTAAAATGTTCTGTAATTAGACGTGGTGATGGTTGCACAATCTTGTGAATACACTCAAACCGCTGAATTGTACTTTAAAGGAGTGGATTTTATGCATGTGAATTGCATCTCAATTAAAAAGTTATGCCTATGTATATTTAATATCTTTTATGTACCAGGCCTTGTGTTGATTGATGAGGATTCAAAGATGAATCAAAGCCACTGCCCTTCAAAAATTTACAGCTGGGTTCAGGAAATGCATGTGTGTGTGGCATGAAAACAAACACATTTGTAAAATAGTGTAAGTGCAACAATAGTAACATCATAAGGTTTGGAAGTGGCAGAGATGAGGAGGTGTTTAATTCTATGGATGGGGTGGAGAGGGAGCATTGGAATGGGGAGAAGCATGGTCAGTGCTCTGGATTGAATGCTGTAGTACCCCAAAATCCATAGTTGAAGCCCTAATCCCCAAAGTGATGGTATTTGGAGGTGGGCCTTTGGGAGGTAATTGGGTCATGAGAGTGGAGCCCTCAAGAATGGGATTGGTGCCTGTAAAAGAAAAGGTACAAGATGGGGCGCCTGGGTGGCGCAGTCGGTTGAGCGTCCGACTTCAGCCAGGTCACGATCTCGCAGTCCGTGAGTTCGAGTCCCGCGTCCCGCTCTGGGCTGATGGCTCAGAGCCTGGAGCCTGTTTCTGATTCTGTGTCTCCCTCTCTCTCTGCCCCTCCCCCGTTCATGCTCTGTCTCTCTCTGTCCCAAAAATAAATAAAACGTTGAAAAAAAAAATGTTTAAAAAAAAAAAAAGAAAAGGTACAAGAGAGATGATCCCTCTCTCTGCCCTATGAGGATGCAGTGAGAAGGTGGCTGTCTACAAGTCCAAAAGTGCGCCCTCACCAGATACCATATCTGCTGACAACTTGATCTTGGACTTTCAGCCTCCAGAATGGTGAGAAATAACTGTTTAAGCCACCCAGTCTGTGGTATTTGTTACAGCAGCCGAACTAAGACAGGAAAATCTGAGCTGAGTTTGGAGGATGAAAAGAAGTTTTCCTGACAGATAAGGGAGGGCGGGCATCCAGGGTGGAGGGTAACATATGCAGAACCATAAGATACGAAATAGTGGGCTGTGTTTGGAGAACCATATATGGGTCTGTGACGCTGGAGCACAAATGTGTGAGTGATCGAGTGGCAGGAAATGAGGCTAAAGAGGCAGTCATAGGACAGGTCATAGAGGGCTTAGTAAGTTGCACCAAGGAGCTGGAAGCACGTGGATAAAAGGTAGAGGATTTTCAGAAAGGGAGAGAGAATTGGATTTAGATATAGAAGGATACCCAGGAGCCAATATGGAGGAGGGACCAGAGGGGAGGAAGAAAACTGGAAGACTCTGGAAGACTTTGGAAATAGTTCAGGCCAGAGCCTGAACTAAGGCAGTGAGTAAACATGGAACAGATACACAAGAGGCATTTAGGAGCCAGAATGGACAACACATGGTTACTAGGTGTTCAGGAACATGGTTACTAGGTAAAAGGCACCTTTATTTCTAATGTTCAGATATTGCTGATGCTTAAAACTTTTTCTTTGGTTGTGGGGCACCTCGGTGGCTCAGTCAGTTGAGTGTCTGACTTCGGCTCAGGTCATGATCTCACAGCTCGTGGGTTTTGGCCCCACATCTGGCTCTGTGCTGACAGCTCAGAGCCCGGATCCTGCTTCAGATTCTGTGTCTCCCTCTCTCTCTGCCCCTCCCCCGCTCATACTCTGTATCTCTCTGTCTCAAAAATAAACATTAAAAAAATTTTTTTAAATAAAAAAACCTTTTCGTTTGGTTGTAAAGATACATAACAGTTTCCTGCCTACCTGCTTGCCTTCTAGGGAGGCTGTCAGAAAACTAAACAGAAAACTTCTGTGACAGCCTTCTGCAGAGCAGGAAGCATGCTCTGGGTGCAAAGTATTTCACGTAATGGGTGCTGCAGCGGAAATAGTCAGGAGATGAGGCCACACACCCCTCACAAGACAATCTTCAGTTCTGCTTGTGCTTTCTCCCAGGCCCAATTCATATGTAGGCATTTTTTATTCTAGTTGTAATCACAGGTCACCGAACTAAAGGAGGCGAGCTGAAGAAGCGGCAAGCTAAGGGAGGAAACAAGGAACTTATCTTGACTGAAGTTCAAACTAAAACAGGGAAATCCTCAATGAGAAGCAAGAGGCTGAGGCCATGATCCTGGCTCATGCGGACATGGCAAGTCACATCTTCCATGCGGATTTGCTCTGTAAAATAAGAGCTTGAGACTGCGGTCCTCTCAAATTTAAAGAAGCAAATGACTCTTAGCAAAGATTACTTAGACGGGGGAAATTGGTAGAGGGCATTGACGTATATTGGACATTTCTCATTCTCATTGTCCAGTTTTCATTCAAGAAGGCCATGCCAAGGAAGGAAGGGCCCAAGGCCAAGCTGTACCAGCAAATAATAAGCATCCCAAAGGAAAAGGCATCCTTGGGAGAAAAATATTTGAGCCCCCAAATCCAGAGAGCAGGGATAGTGAGGCAGGAGGAGTGCACTGCTCCAAGCAGGTCAGAACTGAGACTGCGGCTGCTGGGTCGGTAAGTTCAGGCATGTTCTCCTAGGCACAGTGTTCGCCTGGACAGGCGTAGGGATGGAGTGGAGATACTAGATACACAAAGTTGCCAAAGGAAGTGAGACTGTCCTAAAAGGTCATGTCCTAAAGCGTATGGAATAGAAAAAGAAGGGATAGCCAGTTAAGGAGTAATGACACTCATCTGCAGGGTGAGACAATAGGCTTACGCCGGGCTGGCGGCCGAACTGAGAGACATTATGGAGGAAGATTTTGTAAGGCTTGGTGACAAAAGCAAAAGAGCACAGAATAAAGCAGTCACAGATAATCATCTGGGAGGCTGGGAGGCATCCAGGGGAAGGAAAGGGAATTCGTATTTACTGAGGGCCTGCTATTTGCTGTGTGTACGTCACGCTAGGCCATTTGCATCTGTGATCGAAGTCTGTCAACAACCCTGTGAAATACATATCAGAGGAGGAAACTTCATCCATTCATTCAACCGTACATTCATCTAATTTAGACTCTGCACCGCTCTGCTAGCTGCTCAGCGCATGCTAGTGAGTGAATAAAACACACATGATCTCTGACCTCAAGGAGCTTATAACCAAGGGAAGTAGACACACAGTAAAGAAACAAAAATGAAGTGCTGTGAGGGAAATGAACAGAACACGGCGATCAAAAAAAAAGAGGGAAGAAACCTACCCTGATTGGATGTTTAGGGAACACCTCTCTGAGAAGGTCATATTTACGCAGACACCTGATGATTGAAGAGAAGCCAGCTGTTGTATAAGGGACTAAAGCAAGAGTTGGAATTTGAACCCAGGTTCTCCTGCTTCCAATGTGCTGACAACAGTGGGGGAGGGTGAGTGAGGTGGCTCTTCGAAGTTTAACTGAAAATATCATCTCTAGTTTATTAAAACTCCAAAGTTCGACGGAAAGGAAAAGAATAGGCTAAAATACCTCTTATTTTTCCACTCCAGTCTGAAGGAACCTCTAAGATGAGAAAGAGACATGCGCTCAAGGAATGTGATTTATTTAGGGGCGCCTGGGTGGCTCAGTTGGTTAAGCGTCCGACTTTGGCTCAGGTCATGATCTCACGGTTCATGAGTTAGTGAGTTTGAGCGCCATGTCAGGTTCTGTGCTGAAAGCTCGGAGCCTGGAGCCTGCTTTG